ATACAAAGCATGGTCAAAGATTAAACCAGTGATTCTCAGCATTGCCTATTTGGGGCCTTGGATACGTTTCCCCCTCTGAACTTCTGAACTTTTTGTTTGAAAATGCAGAAGAAGCTTGGAAACGCTGCTGGCCCTGTGTTAGTTTGAAAACTCCGGGGCTGCGTTTTAGTCTGGACAGGCAGAAACGGAGATGTTAGGAAATGATGACATAGGCTCTCATGACCGCTTGCTGACTGGCTCTTTTTGGTCACGACGTCGCCTTCGCTCTTATCACATGACCTCATTCTAGAGTTGATAGAGCTCCAGTAGCAGAGGAGCAATGTTATTGTTACCCAGATAGCCATTGTTAGCAAAAACAGTTCATAGTAACGCATTACCTGGCATTTCCCGCATACTAACGCCGTAGTAACATGTACGACATATTTAATGACAGAAGCTTTCACTACTGTTGATACACGGCGCAGCCATCTTGGATTTTGAAGTTGGGGAAGGTGAGATTCCTTCAACTTTAGAGGTCGGTAATTCCGAGCTACGAGATATAATGGGATGTGGCAATAGTGTAAGATTCATTTAAAGCTACAGCGCAGATAATTTGTCTTCCCCTGCTGGCACATGGAGTAATTACACAGTAATAAGTGATATAAAGGCTAGTAATACTGCATCAAGTACTTAAAACTGTGTTAACCTGTATAGGTATAAGTACATTTTGTGAATTGTGCCCTAAAAATACAGTTTTACGTTTTATTCAGTTTCTTTGCGTAGTTAGATGAGAACACCTATAGTGTAGAGCTAGTTAGCGTAGCCTAACGTAATCGACGTTGCTGTTTCTGAGGAGTCTGATGTCTATGCCGCAACTTGACATTTTCACTTATATACAAAAGTACGTTGACTCAAAAAAAAAAAAGATCATATCATTGTACTATTTTCTAGTTCTTAAAGGAAATTGTTGAGCACAGGACTTATATTAGAGGAACATTCTTGTCTTGGGAGTTTTACTGAAGTAAAGGATCTGAATTTTTTTCCGCCAGTGAACACAGTACATCACATTCTTAAGGTCTGAGCATCAGCGACGTGTCATGATTTAGAGCCCCATCAATGAGGATAAACACGGGACTGGAAGATTTAAAGTTTCTCACCTTTCGACAGAAGACCTGACACGGTCTGCGCTGTAAAAGGCGTGCGCTCCCGCCTGCTGACAGACGAGGCCACTTTGAGGCACTCTCACATCGGCGGTGATCAAAGCCGGGGCCCCGGTGTTCTTCATCGACTCTCAGACTGATACCTGGATCTGCTCCCTCCCCACTTTGTTCACGGCATGTTCATGCTGATACAGAGCAACGCCACGGAATCCATAGTTTACTTTACGCCACAGTCGATAGCAGCCAGTGAATGATTGAACGCCTTTGACAGGTTTTTCTGTGCGTGTGCGGACTCTTTGAAGTTCTCAGTCGAGACGGAGTCTCACCTGCATACAATGAATCACAATTTTCTTTTGGCAAGTTGCATGAACCATCCCAGCTGTCACTTTGTACGTTATGCTCTGACAGCACAGACGGAGGAGCAGAGAACGCGATCTGTTCCGTGAAAAGAGCCGAGCATTTCTTAAGCTGATGATTAAATTATTTACACAGTGAATTGCTGTTATTTTTCAGCTCAGATATATAAAGGTAATAATTACCTTGCTCGTAGCCTTTCTTCCTTGAGCACAGAAAATCCTGGAGGGCAAGGTTTTTAATGGTTTAATTACAATGCTGAGTATTAAAGAGGATAACAAGCTCAGAGTATGGCTGATTTCCTGGCAGCGATAGTCCGTCTTTTTTATTATTATGCAGCACTGAGATGTGCAATTATAATCCACATGTGTGGGCCGAATTGCTCTTGAACATTAAGACAATGATCTTTAACATAAACAGAATAAATGTGGAGTTTTCACTTTTTTGGGGAACAGCGGCCACTGGCTGTCAAAATGACTTTTGGATCGTGTTGAGCCGTCTCAGCTGATGATTCACGCTTTTACTATTATTCCCAGTGGAAATATACTCAGACTGCCACAGGCGTGGAATACTTCTACAACCCACAACACAAACCCCTTTCATAATATTTCTTTAAGCTTATAGAACTTGTAAATGAAAAGAATAGCATGACATCTTGGACAGTATTCTTTCTCACTTTTTTGTCGGGTTATTTGAGACAGATTGACACTAGACAGCTCGCCCGGCTCCGTCTGCCTGCCAACACCTTAAAATACGCAGTAATTAACGTGTCATATCTCGTTTGTTTAATCCGCACAAAAGCTGACATGGAAAAACAACACGTTTAGTTGTCGTCTGGATGGTGGAGGTGGGAAAGATTCCTGTTTTTAAGAGCGGGATCAGACGACACGTTACCGTTGTATCACTGCAGAGTTGTGAGCGTTTAAAACGCAGTGTGCAACAATACAGAACAACACTATAGACATCAAACTTGAGTTTAATTGCACTGAACAATAAACTTTTTCAGGTTGGATATTTTGGTGCTTTCAGAGTGTCCTCATTGTAATTTTGAGTTTGATGTTGATATACATGTTGGTTAGTTGGAGACTTGTACCTATTATTATATTAATTAAAATCACAAATTATTATTTTACACTTCAGTTTTTTGTTGGAGAGTGACGTTAGAAAACTTTGTGTTCATCCTACCTGGTTTATCTGCGGTGAAGATGAATGTTTTTCATAAAATGAAGCTGAATTTGCTTTATTACTGTTCATATGTGGCTGTTTGGATGATTTACTGAACCGGTCTGTAAATCAGCTCAATATAAGCTGTGCCAACAACAAACGATACCTTACAAGATGTATGTTACACATTTATACAGCAAACCGACATAATCAGTCATCATATTTTATCATTTAGCATCAGGAGATTTCTCTCAGAACCAGGTGGAGACTAAAACTGAGCTCAAAGAGTGGATATATTTGCCAGGTGAACACAAACATGACTCTAACAGAATGATAGAGTTGCTCCACAAGCTTTAATGTTGTGCTTATTTAACCGGGCGTGTAAATAAGCATCATCGCCATGTCAACGTAAGAGGTGATGAAATGTTGATGTTGTGTTAACAGCTTCTCTCCGATGCCTCCAAGTTGCCCAAAAAGCTGTTATTGTAGGTTTAAGTGCATTTTTTTTCGAATATGTTAATAACTATTAAAAAAATTTAAAACGCAATGGAAAAAGCAATTTCTCCAACAGTCACATGGACACAGAACAGAGTGGTGAACAAGGATTCTTGTCTTAACCGAATCACTCCTGCTTTCATCTGCCTCCAAGCCTCGAAATCACAACAAAAACAGAGAGGGATCCAACATGCAGCAGACGCAGCGCCTCTTACGTTGTTTATTTTCTCTGCTGTCAGACAGAAGTGAAAGTCACCGAGAGAACGAGACTGCTGCAAAACCCAAACATATACGTAAAAAAAAAAAAATTGTCCCTTATTCCAGCATATTGAAAAGACAAACAAGGAGTCACTTTGTTGTGGTGGAACAAGAGGAAAGTCTTTAGAAGTGAAAAAAGGGGCATGTTGGTTTTGCAAGATAAGTGATCCGTGTCCCTCTGCCAAACCTAAACAAATTCCATTTCAGACAGCTCACCTCCACGGCCTGTCTTTATCTGCTCCTCTATCTCAACCCAGGGCACTTGACATTCGGGGAAGGGTTCGGGTAAAATTCAAGCTCACTGTAATTGGAATCCATTCAGCCTCACATTTTACCGTAAGGAAAACATGCCACTTGCGGTAGTACGCATGAAAATGCTGCTTCCGGGAGATTGTGTCTTATCTGTGTGAGAGATCCCAGTCTCTTATACAGTAATTTATTATCCACCAGTTATTTCAGATAAGGACATTGAGCGTACGCACGGTTTGGAAACAATCTTAAATCATAACTCAGACTTGTATACATACTGTGTATAGTTTTGTTATCTTGTTTATGAGATTTTCCATCATAACATTAGTCGCACTGGTAGTATTAATAAAAGCAGCAGACCAGTATGTCTTTGGATGGAGGAGAAAGTTTTGGCCATTTTGACATGTTGTTACAAAACTACAGTAATTGAGGTCTGCGATCCACAGAATCTACATCACACCACTCATTTTTCACCAGAGCGCTCATGGAAATTTTCATGTGCTGAAAAACCAAAAACCCTTGACGAGGTTTGTTTACATGAATCGGGGCATATTTGGGCAAATAAGAAGTGACGTGGCACCTGAGTGGATTAAAGTGAAGCTTTCAGAGAAGAATGGTGACTAAACTCAGACGGTAAATTAAAAAAAAGCCACATTTCTCTTCAAGGAGCAACCGATGAAAAGAGAAAGAGGTTTTTCCCCGTTTGACCTTCGTCTGTGTCTGGCACCATTTAACTGTATCTTTGGTCTACATTTTCCACTGATGGTTTAAAGGGAGAAATAATGACACATGGGGTTTCATAAAATCTGAATAAAATACATGATTGAACTGGTAAACAGAACTTTTTAAAAGGTTGTTGTAATAGCTGATTAACATACAGTGTAGTGAGGTATTTTATTTATGGATATTTTCCCATATCATTATTAATTAGACTGTAATTTCCATTATAAAATAATAATAAACTTTATTCACAAAGCACTTTTTAAAACAGCTTTTACAAAGTGTTTTCACAGCAAAGCAAGAAAATATATGAGAAATAACAATCAGCAGGATGCAATGTGACAAGTAGCCCAGACAACCACGTTCAGGTGGTTGGAAACGAGGTAGTGTTCAAATTAAATGAATTAATATAGAGCTTATAACACAGGTAGCACTTAAAAGCAGTAATTTGATAGTAAAAATATATAACAAGTACAAGAAATGGTGAAAAGAATGCGATAAAAACACAGTTAAACCCCAACATCACATGAAAGCAATGCTATAAAAAGCCATTTCTGTATTTGTATGCTGTTGGCTGAATGATCCATTGGGGAAATCTTCTTACTGTCTTTTTTTCTGCAGCAGGTTTCTGAACACCAGAGAGTCGACCCACTGGGATCATGGATGGACTTTGTCAAAAGACCTGTTGGCAACTTCCCTGGAAAGTGTCGCAAACGCAAACGTCCCCTGGTAAATCCAGAATATGCCCTGTAAAATATTAGAAGTTACTTTTAATGATATGTTCAGATCAAGTTTGACGCATTGTTCTGTCTGTCTGTCACTAGCCGGGCCCACCTGGTCCTCCAGGTCCTCCCGGACCTCAGGGACCTCCTGGCTCTCCTGGGGCCGAAGTGACCCAGGAAGTTCTTCTCCAGGATTTCAAGGAGATGATTAAAGGTATGAACATGTTCATATTCCTCTTTAGGCTAAAAGGTTATTAACTGATAGCTATGCACATCTTTACATCCATTTATTCACCGCATTATCATGAGGGCCATGTTTGAAAGTCAACGTTACCTCAGTCTGTTGCTGTAATAGCCTGGATGTGTCTCTGTCAGAGGCTACAGAGAGGAGAGCAGCAGCACTTGACAGACAGACCAGCCCCAGCCAGCTACCGACAGCCCTCCTCACTCTGGAGGGGATGACCCCCTACCGGCGAATAGAGGAGGCTTTCCACTGCAAGCTCAAGGGACCTGTGGTGGTGGACAAGAAAACGCTGGTGGAGCTCCAGAACTTTCAGACAGTATGTTTGTTTGAAACCAAGTAAATGTTTATGAACTGGTTCAGCTTTGCTCCCTGCTCGTGGCTTAAAAAAGTAAAGTTTTGGCTGATCCTCCCCCGTTTGTTTCTGACCCATTTGCTTCTCTGTATTAACTGTTTGTGAAAGAGTGACTGTTTGGAAATCATTGCTTTAGTTTGCATGTGGGGGGATTATGAGCAGATCATCCCCCTCGCTGGTAACTGGCACTGGCAAAGCATGCAGTGCCACTCCGGGACTCAGACTCAGCTCTTTGGTCAAAAATATCTACTTTTTCAATCCTACACATCACTCTCTGGGCGGCATACAAAAGGCACTCTGTCTTAGACTTGGAATAAAGTGCGGAGAGGACAGAAATAGACACTGTTAGAAACAGCATGCTGTAGTGGAAGAACTATGCCTTGTTGGGATGGGCTGACGAGGCTGGAGGGGGAGTATGAGGCTCTGCCAAACAATTTAACATCTTAATGAAGCACTGTGTTGGTGGAGAAGTGTTACTACACAGTTATTTTTGAACATTTGAGAATGAGACAAGGAGGCATTGGATTAAAAGTGAGGTGTTTGTGGTTTGAGACAGCAGCTTCATATCTCTACAATATACATGATCTATGACGAAGTTGGTAAAGTGCATTAAAGTCCTCGCTCCCCTCCCGTGTTTACTCCCCTCTTGGCATTGTCAGGATTGCAGATATCCAACCTTGAAGCTGTTTTCAGACATGAACCTCAGGAGAAAGTTTTTTTTATAATGGGGTCCAGACTTTCTCAGGAGTTTGCCTTTCGCACACGAAAACGGGACGTAACGTAATAATTCTGCTGCAGAGATCATGTGTTTTTGTTTACGGCACTTATTATCAAGCGCTCTCTTGACACCGTCGCTGGCGTATTCTCCGTGTGTCACGCCACATTTTCATCCCCAAATATTTGTATTCTTTTTTCGATTTTTGAAGTTTTGTCATTTGTTTGAAACGTCATCCACAAACTCCCCATTCGCTCATGAATTGGCCCACTTGAAATCCTTATGAGCCGGGCACTGATCACCGTTACAGAGTTACGTTGGTGAACTTTTGTTTAAAGCTACCAGAGAGGACATGTAGGGAGTTACCAATGCAAACTTTAATTCAGGTTTTCTGTGCTTCCAGCCGCCTGCTAAAGGAGCCTTCCTCAGAGGGTCAGGAATGGACCAGTCTACTGGGAGATTCACAGCTCCCATCACAGGGATCTACCAGTTCTCTGCTAACGTCCACATCGGTAAATGAAAACAGTAATTTCTCAGTACTACACATTGACTGACCTCCCTCATCCTCCTGTTGGTTTAGTAGAAATTGTAACAGTGGGAAAACTTACTGTCTTATTATTGTTACATGGAGTTTCATGACATCATCTTTAGCAAAGCTCCTGTCAGTTTGCATCTGACAAGCATTAGCCAGAGTGACTGGAAACAGATGAAGAAATAGGGCTAATTCTGACAAATGTTATTGTGTTATAATCAATACATTTCAGACTGAGGTACTTTTACAAACCCTGTGACTACTGGAGTTAAGAGAAAGTGTGTAAAACTGCAGATCCCAGATTTCACCAGGTAGCAAATGCTCCCAAATAGTGTAAACAGTATTTACTAGTGGTAAAGAAGAGAGAACACCATCCCAAGGCTACGGCAACACGGGCGACATCACTGAGGATAACAAAGTCAGAGAGCTAGCAGAAGGGGAAGAGCAGGACGATTTAAACAAACACGCCACAACTTGTGAACACCACAAGAGGGATGTTCACACGGGTTTTTCTCATGAATACAGTGAACGTGATCTATAGCATATAACACAAAGGCGAGTGGTGCATCGACGTCACTTGTGTTGATGAGTCCCTGCCGCTGCTGCTACAGAGCGCTGGTCGTCTATTTATTACAACTTAATTAATATTTGATGTATCATGTTTTGACACCACACTTCCTCAGGCTCTTAACAATACACATGCCAAGTGCGAATCCATTACAATGAACGGATCCTGAGATATGCCAGTCACTTACAGATTTCTTGAATTATTATGTAGACATAGAAGTCGGTCAGTATCTTCTTTAAACATCTAATTTAGGCTCCTCCTTCTTGTTCTTCTTGTTAACTGCCTCACAATAGAAGATCCTCTGTGTTCCGTCAACTGAATGTTTTCACTGTGAACTACAAGCAGCGTCAAATTTCAAATTTAAATTAGCTTTATAGATCTCTGATACAGCTGAAGGGACGAGAACAGTGAACAGAGACGTTGGTATCAATGAGATGCTGCATCATTCCTGTGAATCCCTCGTGCGTGAAGATAATTCTGTAATTTCAGATTGTACGTTGAACAACAACAGCTGAAAGAATCCAGACCACAGGGGTTTGATTCTAAAATACATTTTACACTGTATTCGTTTTGGATGTTTGAATCTTTTGTTTTTGTGAGCCAATGGCTAAGCCACTTTTTTAATGTGATCATTTATAGACCACAACGAGGTGAAGAGGAGCAAGAGTCAGCTGAAGGCCAGGGACAACGTCCGGGTGCTGATCTGCATCGAATCCCTCTGCCACAGATACACGTGGGTATTCAGCGTCGTGTTAAAACATGTCGGACAATCAAATATACACCAATGTCACAGTAGTCATGTGGTTTTTATTTGCAACACATGTTGGTCAGTGATACTCAGTCGATAACATTTATATCGGGAAGTCATTAATGTCACTGCACTTTGAATTCTTGACATTCCTCTTTTTGTCAGTTGTTTACTATTCCTATGTAACAGTGATATTTTATTGGTGTTCAGTGCTGCGTTTACTTTCACCAGAATTTATGAGCTGTTAAAGGTGTTGTCTGTTACAGTTTGTGTGGAACCAGTTTGGCATTTCCTGTATAAAACCAGAGTGCGTCGCTTAGAGCCCTCGTCCCTGTCGCCTAACTAATCTTTATAGTTTCACCTTTGACACGCAGCCTGTAGCATTCAGCAGCAACAGAAGTGACATGCAGGACGTGGGAGGCAGATAATCAAGGATCAGACACTGCGGGCGAAAATTTACACATCCAGTTGGGAACGGTTCTGAGTTCTTTCCAATATTTCAAAATTTCTATTTACATAAAGTCAGGGAAAATTGCTGATTCGCTCCCTAAAGTCTCCCACAGACTGTGCAGCGCTCCACAGCCTCCCGTCTAGTGTGGTACAATGAGGGGAACATATAAATAATACTATTATGATGTGTTACCTAACCCAGAAGAGTTCTTGGCTTTTTTTTTTTTTTTTTGGGATTCGAAGCTCCAGCCAGTCTCGCTCTCCCACACATGAAAATTCAGAGAATGTGAAATGAGGCTCATTGTGATGGCAGTTAGAGCGAAGACAAACATGATTGATTTGCCATAAAAATGTAGCGTTTTCCACTTAACGGGAGCCAGAGTTCTCACTGTGTGGTTGAAGCCTGCAGTGACGTTACAACCGTTTCTCCAGACTCCTGAGGGCACTGAGTGGGTAAAAGAAAAGTTCTAGAAATGCGATTCTTCGCTTTCTTTTTGAAATGAGAGATACCATCCAGATGTTTTTACACTGGGGTGGGGCATATGGCCAAAAATGATCCCTCCACATGAGTGTGAGAGGTTTTTTGTCTCTAAACATTGGTCCTGCGATACGCTAACAATCCCTCCAGGGTGTACCCCACCTCTCGCCTGATGCCAGCTGGGATTGGCACCAGCTCCCCCTGCAAGCCACGAAAGGAAACTTTGGATGAATTTATGTCTCGACACTGGGGACCCTGGACATGTTGCCAGTGTATCGCAGTTCCAACATACAGAGAACAAACAACCATTCACACATCCAATTAACCTAATCCTAGTCTGCATGTTTTTGGACTGTGGGTACCCTTAAGAAACTCATACATACCTTCTTGCTGTACTTTCCGCAATTTCAAGATTTTAACCACGATCACACTCTAAATCAGGAATGTTTTATTATGATTGCAGCTCATTGGAGATGATTGTTGGACTAGAGAGTAACAGCAAGATATTCACGGTCAGCGTGCACGGGCTGCTGGAGCTACAGGTGAGAAACACTCCAACAAACACAAAACATAAATGGATTCATGCAAAAACCTTCTGCCTCAGTGTTGTTTATTTTCCTCTGCAGGCCGGGCAGTACACATCCATATTCGTGGACAATGCAGCTGGTGCCTCCATTACAATACAGAACGGTTCAGATTTCATGGGCATGCTGCTTGGTGTATAGCCTCTCCCACGAACAGGGCACCATCCAAGCCGTTCCACTGCTGCCCCTTTTATTTTTTCATTTCCACGGATTGATTAAGAGCACCGCCACACAGTGCCCGACCACAGGGGAGGTTCGAAGGAAGCCAGGCTGACACTGACTTGACTGCTTGTCGGATGTTGAAGGACAATGTGGAGAACTCAAGGACTGAGTTCTCTACGGTGCACTGTGACTCCCCTGAGGAACTTGGTTGCCGGTTGCTTCACCAATAAAATAACCTGTATGTAAAGCAGTGAACACGTCTTTCACGGTATATTTTTCATGGTTGTTGAACACCTTTGCAGTAGCCCAAACCAAAAATCCACGTTTTTGTGTGTTCTCTGTGTAGATGTCAGCTGGAGAACATGAACGAATACATGTCTGTGTTTGTGTATACTGACAAGTTAATGTTTTCTCTTGTATACACGCACATGAACCATTCTTATTATTATCATGGGTTCAATTTTACATTTAAGTTATATAGTACATAGACTCTGTGAGTACACTGGACAATGGAAATGCCCCACCAACAGAATGTGGACGTAGATAAGTTATAGATCACATATGTAATTACACATTTTGTAACATAGCTTTCACTGCATTTTTAACAACGTTAGCAGCGTGGCTAGTCGGTTGCCCCACCATTTTGGTCCAGACCGAAACAGCGCAACATGTATAAGACGAATTGAAGTGAGACTTTGTACAGATTTTCACAGTTTCCAGAGGATGCATCCTACTGACTATGGTGATGCGCTGACTTTTTATTTAGCCTCCCCATCACACTCGTGGTTTGGAGTGAAGTATCTCATGTATTAGGTGGATTGCCAAATTCACGTTTCCCTTTAAGAGGAATTGTAACGATATGTTAGCATGCCAACATGCTAAAATGAGATGGTAAATATTACGTCTGTGAAATATCAGCAATGTCTCAATTAAGGGGGTTGATCCTTTGGAGGACGCAGTCTATCCGGTCCACAAAGACTGCCTCCTTCATGGGCCGGGTAGACCGTAAACCGAACAGAAAGGAGACGGTGTAGTCTACAGGGGCTTTCCTTGATGAGCTGCCATTACCTCTTTAAAAAATGGTTTGTCACCGAAGCACAATGAATCATGGATATAGACTGGGTCAGGAAGGTTTCTTCTTTTTGGAGCCTTCGTTTCGCGGGGATGAAAAGACGCATTTGAAGGAGAATGGGGAAGTCTCGCTCTTCAAATGCAGCCTCCAAAGAATGCAACCCCCCGAATTGAGACACAGCTCTCAGCGTGTTAGCATTTGGCTGACGTTACATTTAGCTCAAGGAACTGTCGTGTCAAAGTTCAACCTCGTGAAGCCGCTAGCAGAGCTGTTAGCTCGTATGGCGTAATCACATTACGGTGGAAAAACCAGGCTGTTGCTCTGCGTGTTGTGCATTAGATAAACCTTTAAGATGGATGACAGGACAGCTACCAAAAGTGAAGCCAAAACATTTTGATGGCCCCCTGGCGGCTGGCTGTGGTACAGGTCAGTTAGCAGACAGGACAATCTCCAAAGATTGGTCCTGTTCTTTTAGGTAGTTCTCATCACACTGACGTATGTTTGAGTGCTCGAGGCGAAATGTCATGATCGACAGCTGACACTGACTCGATTGGTGTGGCAGGTGTAACGGTGGGACTTTGATACTGTCAGTGCAAGATGGCTGCCCCCCGGATCTGTGGGATTTCGGCTTCATTTTTGTGCAATGGGAATAAGTGGAGATCATCATTTACAGTCTATGGTGCCAGCTAAGCTGCAGTTCCAATGCTGCTAACAGAGGATAAATTCAAGCTGCTCGAGCAGTGTTTTTGTAACAAACTTCTCGCTGCATCTGCGTTTATGTTCCTCCAAGGTAACATCTTTTTGTCTGGGCTTGTTATGAGACCAGTGTTTTATTGCAATTTTCTGGAAATACAGAAACCACAAGTGATTACAAATTCCTCAATCTTTCATTGTAAACAGCAGTAAAGATCAGTGCAGCTCAGCTATGAGTTCAACAAATGTGAACTTTTGGTACAGCCACTCCACCATGGACATTTGCGCAAGAGCTGTTTTTCCAGGATGATGTGAATACACCTTTAGTCTTGTTAAACTGCGTCAGACCGATCTGCATACACCTATCGACTGTAAGACAGCTGTATGAGAACAACTCAAGTTTCTTTTTGCAGTTCCTTCTCTGTTGTCATTTATTAAAACTGTATCTTATTCTTTTTCTTAACATTTAAATGTTTGTAATTTATCATAACTGATGTACCAGTAACATTGGAAAGCAGTTGAAATTTGATATGGTATTTATGTTTGAGAATATGTATCAGTCGTGTGTTGATTTACACTCCTGTGGACTGTTGAGACCACAGATTATTACGAGAAGAAAATGATGTGTCTTTGCTATTTTTTTATTACCCATTATATTCTGTCATTTCAAATTAAACTCTTCAGAAACATTGCTATTTGGTCTCTGCACACGATAGTGATTTTTATTCGTTGAAACACCTAATGTTCATTATAATCACTATCTATCTAATGTCTTTTTCATTTTGTATGATCAGAATTGTCCTTTTTTTCCTACATATCTGACTTATTTATCAAAAATATTCTCTGCAGTGCAAGACTTTCCATTTCTTTGTGGCTTTATTTGAATTGCAAAATACCTAACTGTAAAATATGACTAACAGATCTTGATCTTTTAATCATATTTGTTCAGAGAGCCGAATCAAACGGCTAATACTTCGCCCTGTTTGTTTAAGTGTATTCTAAAGTCCTTTATGTTTCCACTTTAATTAAAACTGAATAACTGTGGTCCATCATGCGGCAGATAAATCTTGCTGCTCTTTAATATCAGTATATTGTTGCTCGGTTGGTATCAGAAGGCTTTAATAACAAGGCTCTAATAGGGTCTCAGACTTTATGGCTCGGATGCTTGTCCAGCCAGTCAAATTAGCTTGTTAGCATCATTGCATAAATGCCTTATAATAGAGGCTTCTCATGGAAGCATTGCTGAGATGCCAAGTGTCACATACTGTACCCAAGAACCAACCACAAGAACGTTGCACCCATGTGCTATTTCAGCCACCTACCGTAGCAGAATCTTTCAGAGGGGAATGGGCTGCTCGCTGAAAAGCAAAGAACTCCCAAAATTTTAAAAACATCTTTTATTTTTAATGACATCTATTTGCTACCAGTGAAAAGACATGTTACGAAAATGACAAATCCAAATAAAGATGTTGAAAACGGTCAGAATTTATGGTGTATAATACGTAACTGGGAGCTTTTTTTCCAAGAGCTGTTGTCTTTCAACATGTTTAACTGTGCAGGGATGAGAGACGACGCATGTTTCAAATAATATTTGCCTTTTCATTGCTCAAGAAGCGAGAGAATGGCACACACTTGTGAGTTTTGATTGTCTTATGTTTTTTTTTTTTCTTCAAAATGTGTTTAATGACAGCTATGTGAGCATGCCATAACGCATTCACTGCCCTGCAGTGGAACAGGGAGCCTGCCAAAGTGGTTGTGAAACCACCCTGCGCCACGACTCTGACAGGAATTTCCCATCACCCCATTATCAGCATCAGACAAGCTGAGTGATTGCAATTACATCTGCCCAAATGCTAAGAGCAACTGCTTTTTCTCTTTCCCTTCGGAGACATGAGGTATTATGAATAGGCCCATTGTGAATCTGTGAGGTTTCTTTCTGCCTGTAAACCAACATAGTTGAGCTGTGCAGCTTTAATGAGGCCTTAATTATGAGACTCCTCTACCTTAGTGACTGACTCATTGGGTGATGGCTTTAAGCAAATCCTCCTTTGTGCAGGAATCCTCAAAAACAACGAGAGAACAGAACGGAACGTGTGCATGTATCGGCAAATTTGCACAATTAAAACGAATCCAAATTAGCGGTTTACTCCCGATATTTGCAAACAAGCATGGATACAAGAGGTGACCATAGTTGGAGCACAAATATGAGGAGGACATGACATTTTGGTGAGGAGCCAGCCACCGGCCCGGACCCCAGCATGCATTCTGTCTTTCTTCTGTTTGTCAGCACTTCCAAACATGGCTACCTGCAGAGTGGAACAGACAGCGAGACTCTCTTTTAGGGATGCCAGGCTCCTGTATATTATGTTTTTAGCATGCCTCAGATTTTTTCACAGCAGCCTAAGTTACTCCAAACAGAGCCCAGCAGTCCGAGTCCTGCTGATACCGAGGCGGCTCTAAACAAACCTGTTGCTGTGATACTGCCCCCATCCCCTCCTGTCTCCTGAGGAGCAGATGAAAGATAAATGCACTGGACCTCATTACTTGCTGGTTTTCATATTAATATAATATTAATAACACTCATCCTGGTGCCACTTTGTAATTAGGCATCTTTTATACTGATAAGGATGATATTTGAGTTGCCAGGTTGTGGAAAAAAACCTCTTTATTATTCTGTATGAGGGGTCGTTATAGTGATGCACCATTTGAGAATAAGCAGACACTGAGGAACTTAAACATAAGCTTATAACTGATGAATCAACAATCAATAATAAGAATCAATAATAATGTCAGTTACAGCTAATAAACAGTTTATAAAGTCACACTGACACTGGATCATAATTATCTCGTAAATCTTCTGTGACTTTCTGCACATTTGCTGTTCTGTAACTTTCGATCTCATCTCAGATATCCAGGGATTTTCCCTATTGTTGTGAACACGCTAATCTCCGGCTGCATTGGAGAAAACTCCGGAGAAACTCCAGAGATTCTCCACAGTTCATGACTTAAACTGGCTTTAGTGGAGCCGAGAGAAAGTTTGGAAGTGACCAATTGAAAGCTACTTATCATTTAAATGTTTGATTTACCCACATTAAAACCTATTTACTCTATTAGAGTCAGGAGCAAAAGTTTAAACTGTTTAACCAGATGTTGGGTGTTACATCATGTATTGAGATGTTGAAGGATCACATTGCGTTAGCTGAGGCTAAAGTCATCAAGCTTGACAACACTTTGGTTTTTTAGCTTTGATTTGTTCTTTGTACAAATTTCACAAGTTTCTTTTTCCTGCCACATTTTCTACAAATTAAAAAAAATCTCTTAACCAAATCCGTAGTTTTGGTTGAATTGCTATAGTTGAGGCACAGAGGGTGTTGGTGAGTGATCTCTGCCATCTTGTTGATTTGATATTGCGTTATGAATTGAAATGCACTTTTATTTGTTTCTGGGTGTACTGCGTGATTTATTGTTTGTCTTAGCGACTTAATAACGGAGAGAGAAGACGAAGAGAAGCACAAACACTGATCACATCCTTATACAGTGCCTGCAGGACATCGTGATATACCTGTGCAAATTGAATGCCATGACCACTTTCCTGCAGCTCAGGCAAACTCAATGTGTCATGTCTCCCGCTGAATAATCTTGCATTCACAGTGAATGGTTTCAAAATCAGACAGCAGCTATGTAAGTATTCTTTAGCAATTTAGTTCTCAAATTGTAGCTGTCAAGCGCAGTTTAGATTTTTCTCCGTCATGCACGGCCTCTCAGATTGTGTCTCATGTATCTGTCATGTCAACATCTCTGCACCTTTACAGGTTCACTCAGCAACCCGGGGTGCAATTACACATAAAAATGAGTTATATAAGGAGGCAATAGAAACGCTGGTCCAGCTTGACATTAACACAGCAAACACACACAGACACACACAGACACACACACACACACCTCACAGCATGGACAGCTCCCAGGAAAGAGACTGTTGTAGTTGGAGTGGAGACGCTGGGTTTTAATGACACGGTATCTTTCAGAGCGCCATTCCCATAATTATCCTCCGTCTGACGTGGATCTGTCATTGGCATTGATTGTTTGTCCTGATGCCCACCTCCTCCTCGGGGGGGGGAGAAGTGTGAGTGCAGAGGGGGGTGGATGTTTAGCTCCCCTTGAGTTGGACAGGTTGCATTCAGCAGCCCATGGGGAGGCCCAAACTGGAGCCATTGGGAAGATTGGTATCGTGTTAATGGCTCCACAGGCTCCAAGATACATAGCAGCAAAACCATAAGAGGCACTGGAATGTGGACTCCCTTGAATCATTGTCATAATTAGGGACAATTGCACACGCAGATCCCGGGCCTGTTGTGCTCATTTGGAATCTGTCTCGTCTGTTTTTTCTCATGTCTCACTGCACTGCTTGTGTGCCTGTGTGCTTGTGTGTGTTGGAGGAATAGTTTGACATTTTGGGAAATGGATATATTCGCTTTGTTGGAAATGAGAAGATTGCTAGCACTGATGTGCCTGGGAATTTAATATCAGGCTACAACAGGGAGACATAAAAAACAAAAACGTAGCCTTTGTCCAGTGCGTTCTTTTAGCTCTTAGAGTTTGGAATGGATGGAACTAGGTTGTAAATTGTATTTGTAGTGACTGAAAGAACAAGGTCAGGTATCTGGGCTCAGCCTTAGCGATATAGATATCACTTATTGAAAGTCGCTTTGGATAAAAGCTAAATGATATGTAATATGTAGTAAGAACATAGGGTGAGGAGTTAAGACATCGCGGGGGAGCTCAGAGTCGAACCGCTGCTCCTTCTCGTCCAAAGGGGACAGTTGAAGTAGTTGAGGCATCTGGTCATGATGCCTCCTGGGCATGTTCTGTTGGTGGTTTACCAGGCATGCCCAACCAAGAGGGAACCCCGGGGCAAACCCAGAACTCGCTGGAGGAACCACATATCCCTTTAGTCCTTGGAACGCCTCGGGATCCCAGGAGGAGCTGGAAAGCGTTGCTGGGAACACACTGCCTCCGCGACCCCAGCCCTGATACGTGGAAGAGAGTGGATGGCTGGATTAATGGACAAATGGATGTGTTAGGAACAATTCCTGTTAGTAAAGCACACATGTGACATTTGTGGTGATACCGACATCCTCTAAAAGTATGAATCTGAACATAACAGTATTACATTTGTGTGTTTAGATCTGAATCTTTATTTCCTCCGCGAGCTGTGCTGTCGTTTGCTGCTGCAGCTCCAGCTCCTGACGTGTTAGTAAACAGGTCAAACTCACTGTGTGTTTGTGTTCCACCACAATGTTGGACATGGAGCGAAACAACCAGAACATCACAGCACTACTTAACGTGGCCATGACGGTAAATGATTGCGGCGGATTTTCCTACATTTGTTTAAAACAATTTTGAGCCATTTACCAAGCCTCGAGTTACAGCGGCATTAAACTCAGCTGTTGTGAAAAACATGTCAGACATCCATGTGCGTCTCCTTGGACAGATGATTAGACCTTAAATGGCCCCATTGACACTAATAAGGGCAAATATCCCTCATTATCTTTCCCCCAGTGATGGCAGAGGATGGAGTGGTGGTGGGGGGGGGGGTTCAGGTGAGGCGACTCTGTCTCGGGCTCCTGGGAATAAAAACAGTGGAGTCGCTGGTCTGGTCGAGGGCTGGTGGCTCGTGTCTGATGGTGTGGAC